TTAGTTGTATTTTCAGTTACCATTATACAATGCTCAAAAACATCAAGGTATGTTTACAAGGATGCTACACAGTCATCTTGCCCTCAGATTTGCACTACTGCATTTGACTGTAGTTTAACAAAAATATTTTGAAAACAAAATTCCCAAACTGGAATACAATTCAGCTTTCCTCCCACAGTGCATTGGTTCTGAAGAGATAATAAAGAGAAAATAAGCCAATAAAAATAAGAAACCAAATTAACTCAATTGAGTAAAAAGGTATCAATTCAAATGTTTTTGTGCTTTAGTCACTTCTCAGAGATGAATCGGTACTTCAAGATCTTAGAAATTTTTTTTGTTGTTTTCACTGAGGGTTTTGTGGATGGGAGGTTTTTGGTTGTGGGGGGGTTTTTTGTGTTTTTTTTTTTTTTTAAACCACCTCTAATAAAAAATGAAAGTGTTTTAACTTAGCACTTCCATATATCAGTTTAACACACAACATGTGGAGTTGCTGAGAAAACATGGGTGTTTTTAAGTGTCTGGCTTTAGGCAATAAAAGCAATTCACATCCCTTGGGTCAATGATGCTTTGAACCTCCTCTAGAGACTCCACTAATAGAGGTTTCTTGTCCAGGCAGCTTGGCTACATGCTTTGAACCTCCTCTAGAGACTCCACTAATAGAGGTTTCTTGTCCAGGCAGCTTGGCTACGTGGTTTTAATAATACACCCTATGACTAGATTCAAAACCAGCATACTAGAAGCTATGTAGGCAGTTTAGCTTTACAATTTCATGGAAGCCTGCTCTATTTGTAAACAAAAATGAATCCAAGGAAGTGGTGTAGCCTGTGGTCAAGACTGTCAACAGTGGTCCCTCTGGTTTTATAATCTTGGCTTGGTAAGGCATCTGAATTTTCTACTTCTGACATATGCCTTCGATATCACATCTGTGATAACAGTTACTGCATTTATACACTTGCTGGCAAACTCATCCCTGAGAGCCACCAATGTCTTTTTTTAGATATCAAATGAAAACAATCTGCACAGCGTTAAGTGCATTAATGTTAGTAGAGCTGGGTGGCTTCCAGTCCTCTCCCGACCCATTTGAAAACTCTGATAACATCCAACACTAAAAAGATGCTGTAGTTTTCATTATTATTCCTGCCTTATCAGAATATTCCCAATGCTCTTAAAAACCTTTTGAACTCTTGATAGTCCAGTTGGGTCAAGTCCACTATAGATTTAAGGTAGATTACACTTGCACTTCAACAGTTTTATCAAGAAAAAATAGCATACTTGGCAAATCATATTTATGGAGATGTACAATTACATTCTCAATTCCTTCAGCGTGCATTTCAGACTTACTCTGGCCTCTCTCCCTGCCTGGAAGCCACTACAGATTTATCTACAGCTTCATGTTTCTTACACAAACTTCTTTGTCTAGTACAGAAATGAAGTGAGACTGACAGGTACATCATCCCAAAAAATGCAATCGTTTTTATGGTAATTATTTTGCCTTCAAAAAGAGATTCATGCCAGAGTATGTTTGTGGGGTTTTTTTTTTTTCTCTCTACCAGGTATCTGTCTTAGCAATTTCAGAATACAAAAGACCATATTTCTTCTACAGATTCCATGAGAATTCTTTGAGAATAGAGACAAAAAGAAATAATGAGAGAGGGAGTGCTATTTCATAGCTGTTAGATATTTAGCTGTGTAAGAGATGCCCGCAGGTCAATGATCTTTGGCAGCCTGAAGATATTCATTGAACATGCTTAACGTTACAATTAGTAACGTGGAACATGATCACTCGCTGCTCTCTTAGATTAAACTCATCAATATTGGCATTCCATACTGTATTTTATAAACTAGCATCTAACAAAAACATCCTATTACTTATATTGGATTATAGATTATCATTCTATTATTATATATGTAATTACATATAATATACATTGTTATACTATTACATATTGCTCTTATTTATGTAGAGCTATTATTATTTATAGAATCAAATTGTATAAAATTATACAATCAAACAACTGGAAGATTTTCAAGTCACGAGAAGGAATAAACCCAAGTTATGCTTTACCTATACACTGGATGGTAAAAGCACATGTGCTCCACGTCATCATAGGAATCCGGTAATCAGCTTCATTTGGAGCAACTTTTAGCCCAACTCTATAAATGGTGGTGGCAAAGAGAATAAGCATCTCCTTGATACTGCTTGAGTATTTGGCTCTGCAAAAGCAAGCCAAGATAATTTCAGTCTGAATTATTAATATTGCTTATTAGTTACCAGTCAATCAATCAATAACAAACTCTAAGTTATTTATGAAAGAATTCTTGAAGACAAAGGCCCTTTGTCTTACAGAGGAGAAAAAAATTACTAGTTTCCAGTAGTAAACAAGTACCTTGACAAAACAGGCTCTGCAAATTGAGAGATTAAGAACCTCCAGGCTGGAAGGAGTCTATTTCTGTATACTGTATTATAATTTACATTCAAAAAATGCAAACATTTAAATCAAAGTAAAATACAATGAAAAATACAAATGCGAGTAAGCAAATGTAATTATAAGTGCGGGAGTGAAAATATATCCCATCTTATAAGGCACTAAAAATGGAAAGATAGACATTTCAAATGTGTTTTAAAACACGTTTTAGCATTTAAGCTCCTTTCAACTGACATTGGGTTAGTTTACGTAAATGCAGTTATATGCAGAAAAGTGCCTAGGCAAAAACACGTACAGTTTTAATGGCTTGTGTTTTTTCAAAGTCATACACAAAACTTCGTAACAGAAATACATGACATTCATATTAATTCTCCAAATCTCTACAGCCAAAACAATTGTATCACCAAGTTTGGTGTTTAGCCAGGCTCATACTTAAACACCACATTGTTTAAGTGCAAACTATAGAATCTTTCCCGTGGAGATCAGTTACCAAGAAAGAATTTTATTCAACTTTCTGACGACATTTTTACAAATAGCAGATATGTGTAAGTACTTTGCATAACTATGATGTCAGTCAGAAGCAGCAGAAGCAGAGTACTTATAGCATGATCTAGAAAGAAGACAGACAGCTGAGTACACTTGAAAGTATCCATTCATTCTGTTTTAGTGAGAGAGCACTTTTGCCCACTGGAATAGAAACAAACACCACAGCCCTATTCCTTTGAGCAATCTATATTACATTAATGCATCCAAAACCAAGTGAAATCTATCCCTGAAACAGATATATAGCAGGAAAATTAAGGCACAGGAAGTGACACAAATCACTGGAATTGTGGATTAGAAGATTCCAGACTCCTAGCTGTGTACCAAGAACATAAGAACTACCAGACTGGATTTGACCAAGAGGTCCATCTAGCTCTGTATAGATCTCATGTTCAGTGAATGCTTAAGCAAAAGTGTAAGTAAGCCCATATTCAGACCAAACAGATCATATGCCTTTCCTTCAATACAAGTCCTGAAGTATACCTAGGTAATTTTAGGGAGAAATAACATAATGCAGAGAGCACTTCCAGTAACACTTACGAGGACTGAACTCCAAAACTAAGGATGGAATGGAATTCCAAAGCAGAGTTCCCCATTCCCTTGTTGGTGAAAGCTGGAAGATTTTGTTTCTCTCCTTCCAGAAAAAAAAATTGATCCACATTAAAAAACAAAGAAGTTGTTACAGTTTTTACAGCAGTCTAAGAGAAGTGAGACTTACTTTTATTTTAAACTGGTTTGAAAATAATTCTAAACAGATCGCACCAGCCAAACTGTCTTCTAACCCTCCTCCTTAAGTAACGTTTTCTTCTATTCCCAGAAATATGAGGATTAAAAATAGTGCTTTGCTGGTGAGGAAAAAGAACTTTCCTGAATTATAAGAGTGCAAGGAGTATGTTGATTCTCTGCACCTTCTGTTTTCTATACACTCATACATGTTTTTATTTTGGCCCTTTTAATTTAATTTTTCTCTTTTTTACTACATCACAGTCAATACAAAAGTTTAATTAACTCTGAATGTTAGTTGGTGGCTATCCTCTCTAAGTGTACATAATTTTCTTCTACAAGGAAGATGGAAAGAATTTAACAGAAACCAGAAAATTGGTGAGGGCACTGTGAAATCAAGACATCACCTCAGAAAGGGCCATGACTTTATCCCCAACTTTCTTTGATACTGTCTTGATGGATAGCAAAATGTATTCTTTATTTGAAGTCTTCTGCTAGTATTAGTTAAAACATGTACTGGCATATTAGATATCCCACAGAATACCTTCAAAATTAAGATAACAAACCTTTAGCATTTTTCACACTGTAGCCCGATATCCTGACTATGATAATCTCCAGCCACCTAGCCAGGGACAGAATTTGAGCTACTGCCTCTGCATCCTCACTGAAAACAGAAATAGAAAGCAGGTTTTACTTTAACACTCAAAGAATCACCTTATCTTTAAAAAGAGAGGACACATTTAGATCAAAACACATTAACTCAGTATTTGCACAGTTTTGCTGGCTTTGTAAATTTTGAGCAAACAGTACAAAATGAAGTGTTAGGCTAAATACTAGATCTAGGTACTTTCTCATTTGATACGAGCTCCAAAAAATAGCCAATCCAAATATGCTTTTTAAAAAAAAAAATTTGACTGTCAAAAGCAGTATATTTGGCTGAATAGTCAATAAGGAGATATGCAGTCTTTTATACAGATTATGAAGGCCAGCCCAAGTTTTCCTTCCAAAAATTTGAAAAGCCAACCAGCCCCAAAGTAATTTTTACTTTTTTTTTTTTTTTTTTTTAATTAAAGGCTATGCGATCTGGTAATTCACCTGTTTATTTTTTGAGCCTGCAATGGAACGATAGGAATCACAGTATTGCACAGAGATTTGCAAAGTGGACAAAGATACTCTCCATTCTCCAAGTCAAATATCTGTTCAACATGCAGACGTTGTCGGAAGTTCAGCTGCATGGCTTCAAAGTACCTACAACATTGAAAAGGAAATTACTAGAAAGTGGAATGGCTCAAATGTGACATGAAAACAAAAGTTCAAGTAATTAAAAGTGTTATTATCTAGCAAATACCTATCCAAGCCAACAAACAAGTCTTTCTTTTCCTTTGATTTATAACCCTTTCACGTGCTTGGATGTGAAAATAAAACCTTTGAGCACATAGATGAACTCATGCAAAAATGCATGGTATACCACTCATGCAGAAATGACAGCAACTTTTGCTTGCTTTTAAGATTCTTTTAAACATCATTAACATTTTCAGAGACAAGGAATACTTAAATTTTCTACTCTTCTGTCACAACATCTTCAACACAATGAAACATTGTATCTAATATCTCTCATATGCAATTCATTACAGTAAGTTTGAAACAGGGATTGTACACATTTTTACTTAACTTTAGGAAAAACTACCAGTAACATTTCACGAATGAATAATCAGCTATTCATGGCAATGACTGAGCCTCATGACTAGACAATGAAACTGTAGCTTTCTTTTAACAGGAAGAGAGGATAATTTTTATATTACAGTGTTGCACTTAGGCTATTTCAAAGTCAAAAGAAAACGAAGAAATAACTGTGATCTTCTTACAGGTTTCATTATAATTTTGCCTCCTCAGTGGATGCAGTAAGCCTTCAAATTTCATTAATGTCTCAGCGGTATTATTAGGAACAAAAAGACGCAATGTTCAAATCTTCCTGCCTGGATACAAGCAACTAAATTCAGTACTGATGTTCAGACTGGGTATGTAGCATCTTAAAGACAGATATGAAATTATCTAACTTCCACAAAAATAATAACTAGATGATTTTTTTTGTTGTTGCTTTAAATCATACATCTTAAGGGAAAAAATAAAATCCCATTTATGTAATAAGAGAAAATGTATGTGCGGGGGCATCTGCAGAAGTTCTTATGATTACAGAATATTTAGGAAAGTATTCTGTTACAATCAACAAAAACATACATTTATTTTCCCACATTCAAACAACTATGTTTTTGCAAGCAACTCCTCTTCCTCATACATGGCAACTACAAAGATATTCCATTCATTTGAACTCATACTGTTTTAGAGAGTATTTTGCAGTATTTTTAGGCTGCACAGATACTCTAGAAAGGCATGGCAGGCATCGTTTGGAGGAATATTAGTAAGTTAGAATGTCTGTTATGTAATAAATAAAAGACTATACTCAAACCTTCTGTGCCATCCCGTATGAGAAGAGCCTGTTGTCCATTTTAATCCCATTTACCCATACAGCAAGTCATCTTTTCTTAAAAAGAGCAAGGGAACTGAGCTCCAATGTTGCACTACTTAGATCTACGCAGATGTAGATGGATCTGCCAAGAGCAGATGTATTATACTCAAGGAACATAAATTCCATATCATTTTAAGTGTGTGCACCTATTTATTCTGTATTGATGTTTTATTGTAAAAAAAAAAAAATATATATACACACATATAGAAAAGTAAATGATAAGCACTAGAAATTTAGTCAGATTTTTAAAAGTAAAATTGCATAAGTACAAACAACAAACCTCAAGAGATTGTCTATATCATACAACAATATAAAGTAGCTTGCAATTGCATGACCCAACTCTCTTTATCTGTTGATAATACTTCAGTGGGATTATTTCTATTATTATTTCACACTATCTTGTTTAGACTTGCCAGACCTATGTGGAGTCAAATGCAGAGAGCATTAGCTTTGCTCTCTGTAATCCTACAAATGTAGCTGCAACCAGGATGACTATATTCTGCAAGCTAAGTAACTTGGTCTTTTAATATTTCAGGTTGCATTCTAATCCAACACACTTGGTCTAAATTGGAAGCTCCCCCAAACAATAGAAATCTAGTAAAGTTTTTAAGCACTCTATCAATTCTTCCCTCTTACTTTTTATTAAGAGTTTGTTCACCGATAGGGGGGGGGATGGAGGGTGGGAGGAAATATTGGTAGATTTAACCATTCACATTGTATTCTAAATGTCGGATTCTTATCTAAACACTCACTAGAGTAAGTCAGCTTCATCCTTTAAGTACTGACCTGGTGACAGACTTTCACAGTCAATAGTACTATTGCTATAGAACGCTCACCTGGAAGATTCCTACTGGTTCTCATTGTATTGCTAAAAATAAACCTACTAGATATGGTTTCTTATTCTTGACCAATTTTACCCTATTGGGTTTATTTGCATAAATTAGTAACTACTTAGACATTCTTCTTTGGGTCACAGAAGGCAATAAAAACTTTTGATGATAATTTTCTTCATCTTGTGCCATACTTCATTTTTAGATGAGTACAAACAGTTTTGACTCCTTAATTAAATATCCACTTACTGTACTGTGTTTTCAGTGTGCACTTAGATGTTTTGGAAAATAGATTAATAAAAACAAACAACATTAAAAGGCTGCAAAGACACATCCTTACTTCTGCCAGCAGGCTGCATGCATCACATGACCACAGCTTCCTGTGTGGGTCCCACAAGGTAAGTCAGGGTGCATGAAGAGAGGATCTAGTGTATCTAGAAAGACAAAGCAGAAAGAAATTATTGAAAGAACAATAACGTAACTTCCCATCAGTATGAACAGAAATGAACAACGGTATACACAGAACACAAGCCTTCAGATTTTATTTTCCCACAGTTTGCACAGTCATATTAAAATCCCATTTGGCTAGATTTTCCAGACAAATACTCCAGCAAAGTAATCACAAGACCAAGCTCACTTAAACTACCGAAGGCTTTCCATTAATTATGAAGAAAAACATGACAAAATCCAAATGCAATAGTAAATTGGTTAAAAAAAAAAAAAAAAAAGGGTTCCTCAGTACTGGAATAGCTCTGTGGTTGGATTCGCTATCACAGAAGTTTAATGTATTTGTTATTGTATTTTTAAATGAAAGAAAATGAAAATACTAAGGACAAGAAAGATTAGGCATTTCTCCAACTAATATCTTATATTTTCAAACCACTGATACAAAGAGCATTGCTGAATAACAAAGTCAAGTCTGTCTTTTACTAATCTTGCATAATTCTTAACAACAAAAACATTATGAGAATGTAATGGTGTCTGTGTGCTGCATATATACTCAAAGCGAGATTCCATTTTCCTCTTAAAGATATCTAAACAATACTGAACAGAACAACAGCAGTCCTCCAAACTTCATCTGGTGGACTGTTTGTGATTTTGAACAGATATACCTGAATTTGACAAAATGGAAAAGAAAAAAAACACCACACAAAGAACCTAGCAGCCAAATTGCACTGAAAATATAATTCTATTTGACAGCAGCTGAAGCTGCTCTAAATCAAATGGAGACCGAAATAAGAAAGTGAACCTTGGTCTAACACTAATTTGCCACTATCTGCACTTCTGCTGTGGGAACAAGCATTTTGCCACTCATTTAGATCTTCAAAGAAAAAAAACTCTTGCAGGCCTACTTCTAACTGATGAGCTGCAGAGGACCATGCAGTAGAGAGCAAGTGCTATAAATAATATCCAGGAGTGGCTTTAGGAAAAGGAACTTAATTCCCTTCTTTTTTCAATTATTTCAATAGCCCAACACGTCACTGCAGAAAGCTTACAAGCGTATCTGACTACAAGAGCAAAGGATTTAATTTGTACTTCAGACTACCACAGAAGAGAGCAAAAAAAAAGGATGCAATTAGTACACGGCCTAGATAAAAATTCTATACCGCTGGCTCAAAATTGCCATTATCAGTAGTTCGCTGTTAAAAAGAAAAATGGATCGAACAGGATTCTATAGGAGTCTGTCCTGGGTCTAGGACTAGTCAGTATTTGTTAATGACCCAGAGGAGGAAACACAAAACATCTTATTAGGTGAAACAACTTGGTAAAGGTTTGCAAACATGATAGAGAATAGGGTAACACGTTGGAGAAATAAGAAACAATGCTGAACTTCCCTTTGCTTTAGAATTCTATTTGATACAATTCAAGAGTATACTTCTAGACTAAAGCAGGAATAATGAACTGCACAAACACAGAATTTAAAGCTATTTGCTAGACAGTAGTGTCATTAAAAAAATAGGACATAGGGTTCATTTTGCTTTATGAGCTGACCACGACTCAACAATACGCTATTATAAAATAGAAAAAAACATATTTGAAAATAAGTAGGAATTTAAACAAGTTGTAACATTCTTGCCATGCACAGGCAACAAACTAGAAGACATCTTGAGAGCACTTACAGACCTCCAATTTTAGTATCTTTCAACACTGCATCCTTATTCCTTATATATTAGTTAGCTTGAATAAGCAGGATTTGAAAAAATTATTGACTCAGCTTTATAATAAGATATGGGCAGATACATAGAGAATGTATATTGATTAATAAATATTTACTAGATAATAGCTATTTAAATTTTTATCTGTGTTAAATATAATCAATTTACAGGGAAAAAAATTACCACTTTTAACTTATAATTATTATTTAATATTATAATGTGCTTGAATCAAACTAGTAGTTTTATGATGAGATGTATATCCACCTTCGGTGATTTCACCTAAACAACATTTTCCTAGGCTGTGTATCAAGTAGGACAGAGCCAAAAATTCTAATAAACATGAAAATAAATTAGCTTACCTTCTCCTTACCCACAAAACCAGTTATCCTGGCCAAAGAATTAAGGTGGTTTACTAAGTTCCTTTCTTGACAAATCCATTTTTGACATTTCTTACTGCTTTATTGTCTGTCTTTATTTTTTTATATTGTCTTATAAACTAGCAATAATTACTATCATCCAACATACTTTTGGGCATCCACGCTGGCTGGAATACTCAAATTTTTAGTACTTTCATTTCACTTCTGCTTTTTTGGCTTTTTTTTTTTTGACAAATACTTGTTTGCCCTTCTTAACCTTCTGAGATCTCCACTATCTTCTACGCATTTTAAAAAACAATTAAAGATTATACTGTTGACAATGGTTCTGACAGTACTTTCAGTATGACTTTAATATTTGCCAACGTGAATACAGTGAAGTTATCTAGATATTGTTTCAACTTTTATCTTATTCTGGAATGTATTTCTCTCTTGTTAAAAATAACAGCCATCAAGCATCTGATCTTGAATTATTATTAATTTTCTTTTTCAAAAAGAGATCAAAAAAGTCAGTGAGTACTTAAGTTTACCCTTTTCCTTCTATTTATTTTCTTTCTTTCCCTTAAGTAACTGACCTAAATCTTTCTCATGTTTAATCAACTGTTACTTACAAAAAATTCTGGTTGGTCTTTGTGTTTCTTGCTACCAATATGCTATTATGCAACTCTAACTCTTGTTTTTGTATTATTCTCTTGTATTCATTTTTTTTTCATTCATCAGATGATATCATATGATCCTTGCTTACACTTTTCTATTTTTTTATGTCGCTGTTTTTATTACTTCCTAGACATAAAAAAAACCCAAAACAAAACAAAACAAACCCCACAAACAAAAAAAACCCCAAACCCTCCTGAGGCTGTCATATTGGCCTCTGATAATGTTCATGTAATTCCTCCATATTGGGAAAGTTTGCTGCTGTACTTGAATAAACAGGAACTGTTAACATTCTTGGATTTTTTCCGGAGTGACCAATCCTACCAAATCTAAGTTTTATAAAATTTTCTTATGAGATTAAAGCATTTTCCAATTTCCTAGAGACAAATCAAAATCTACATACACTTTTAATTTTTAAGTTTTAAAGCATGGATTTTAGAACAATTTAAAAATTTTCACTTTCTTTTTATCAAGTAGGGTAAGCCATTTAGCAATCTGACCGGATACAGAGTTTAATTAGGTTCAAAGGGTATGAGCTCCAGGTACAGAACTGCTTGTAGTCTAAAAGAAGAAAAATCGCATACCCCCTGAGAGTTCAAGAATTCTGCTCCTATTCTGAGTTAAGGCAGTTGATTTCTGGACACAGGCAGATAATACCATGGCAGCACTTTCCAACTTTACTTCCTGTTCCTCCTGACAAAGAATACACGTCAGAACTTCTTTCTCAGCAACAGATGGACCTCGTTTGGGACCCAAAGCAATTTTGGAGTAATCAATTGCCGAAGACATGCTGTAAGACCATAAGTGACACAGATATAAAATAATCACATGGCTTTTTCTGAACAAACTTATTCTTCCAGGCATCTAAAAATATAATACACTGCTAACATTTCTGGTTTTATACCAAAGTGCTTTACAAAACCAAATGATGACCAAAACAATGAAGAAACACTTCAATCCTCACTAAAATGCAGTATTCATTCAAAATAGAAAGTGGAAGACAACTAACATAGAATAACACAATGAAATGGATTCAGACAGCAGGAAATTCAGGAAGCTGTATTCAATATAGATTGGATTAAATATATTTTAATCTTACAGACACATTAAAATTATTTCCCATTCTTGAAGAAAACATACTGAAAATGAATGCCACTGCCTTAATTCACTGCTTTGTGACACAATAAGTTTCCATATATTTTTTTAAATATTCCTTATTCCAGAGTTCAACAATGATTTATAGAACATGATTTATTAAAGATCAAAGCATACAAGTGATCTGTACTTTTTTTCCAGCAGATATCTCTATTTTCCTGATTAGTTTTGTGCAGCCCCAAGTAGACCAAAATTGAGTTGTATTAAGTGTACTATATTGTTGAAGCATCTCTAGAACAGGAGCAAGCCATACCAACAAAATTATAACCAATATAAACCAAATATCTTCAGTATGAAACCAGATTTTAAAAACTAATGAACAGAAATATCAGTGACTTGAGCTACAAGAAGCATATTTTCTTCATTGCAACTTAACCTTAAGGCATATTGACTTTCAGATTCTTTCCAAATTAAATACGTAATTTTTCATGTAAGGTAGACAGTCACCTCCAAAATTACAGTGTTGTCAACTCAGCAGCTTTCTAATGACATTGTTTCAAACGTTAAGCAATATAAGTATCCACCATTTGAAGAAATAATTAATTTTCCTATTGTTTATCTTATGCTGCTCTACAACGTGAGTCCACTGTTCTTACATTAGCATACACATGCTAGTTTACATATAATCCTGTAACATAAGATGACTTAAAAATAGAGACACAAGTTTGCTGACTGGGATGACACAATTTGCTCCTTGAATGTACTTTCAAAATTTTTATGTAGCATAATGAACTTATGTAGCAGAGGTAATGAACTCTTCCCACCAGAACTCTGGATGTCTGTTTTTTCTTACCTTTCTTCGTCCATAATAGCATCTTCTTTCCCCGGTGCCTCCAGTGTGTTTTCGTACAGGAGCTTATGGGTTTCAATGAAATTCCTCTGCAGTGCAGACATCTGGGCCATTATCTTCTGACGGTGCAACCTAGCTGCTTCTGCCTTTCTCTTCCGCTCAGCTTTCTCTTTATCCTGAGTGCTCTGTGTCTTACAATAGAAGAGAATAAAGAAATCACAGGCAACAGAAAACATCAAAAAATGAGAAGAATCTTTCCCCAACTATATGCATTCTAACCACTGATATCAAATTCCTTAACTGACAACACTTTAATGATAAAAAAAAGTTAACTGCTATCTGAAAAATGTAAACCTAAAATCTTAAATGTTGACTAGGTTCATTAACCTAGGCAGAAGAAAGATTTTGAGGGGTCCACAAAAGGTCAGTAGTACAAAGACAGGATCAATAATACCTGATCCATTTTAATTAGGTGCTTGTCTATTCTTAAGAAACTTTAGTGAGGTGAACATCACAAGCCTCCTCCAGTATTCTGTTATTCTCCCCATAAGCGAAACCCCTACTAAGTATTCAGTATCTCCCTTACAGGAATTTAAGAAAATTTTATCTTGAACGACACAGCAAACAGATTGTTCCTACATTTTTGTGGCAGCATTTTATGCATCTGAGGATTGTAATTTCCCCTATTCTTCTTTATTGTAGACCAGAAAACTATTCTTCCAGAATTTATCTATCATGTTTTCAAAAACTATAAACAAAGTATTTATATGCTTTGGAAATGTAGAATTCAAAAAACACAGGTAGACTTAATTAAAAAATATAGAACCTAATTCCTCTTATTCAATTACTTAAGGCACAAATTCAACTTTATACACATTGCTTCCATTCACGATACCATTATTTTCTGAGGAAATGAAACAACAACAAACTGCTCCACAGGTAGTAGAACTGTAAGAGTCTCATTTCTTACTGACTTTTGTATTTTGTTCCCTTACCTTACCAGATATCATATGACACCTTTCTCAAAAAAGAAACATGGCATATGCTGTGATAAGTTTAGAGCTATGCATGCAATGACTAGCCAAGAGATTGCTTGGCAGCAAGCTGTTGCCAACAGAATGTGTAAGAGCAAACTGGCCAGTCTTTGCACACTGTCTAAGGGTAATCAGATTCTTCTTTTCTATTCAACTGCCAATTTAAAAAAAAAAAAAAACAAAAACAAAAACCAGTAATCTTTGAAATCTCCATTTCACTGTGTCATTTGACCACTGGACTCAAAAGTTATTTTGAGGGAAGGAGGTAGAGACTGATAAATCACCTAAGCCTGATGTCTATATACAATCAAGGCAAAGCAGATTAACCTCTTGGTAGGTCACGTAAATTACAAGACATCATTTAAAGTGGATTTGTATTTCTAATTATTGCACAATGACAACATAATAGAAAAGGTGGTCAAATCATAAAGATAAGAAATGGAGAAGTGAACACAAATTACTTCTTCACCCCTCTCAGTTGTTTTCACTTAACTTGGAAGTACAACCAAAACCACATTAGCTGCTGATAATTCCATGAAACATACTTAGCATAAATTTATTAAAAATATTAATCTTGGAACATAAATCGTATTTGTAAGCAATATATTAGAAATTAGTATTTTTTAAATTATCATTTTAAGTAACAATAAATTTAGGCACCTTTTTGAAAACAGCCATTCAAAACATTAAATACAAGGCTTCCATTGAACATTTTTTTTATTATTACCTCATCACCTTTTGTAGCTTCTGAGCCTGATGTAGCTGCTACTGTTGTCAAACTAGATTTTTCTCTCAATCTTTTCACTGTGTCAAACATCTAGGAATAGAGACTTAGATGTTAAAAATAAAATGCAACTTGGCTCTTATTACAATATAGACAGGATTAAAGCTCTTGATATTTAGTTTCATGTTATTTTCAGATTTTCAAATAGATGAAACCAACTGCCATACTCCTAAATAACAAAAATATCTAACCGAGACCGTATGTGCACTCCTGATAACACTGCTGTGTCTGTATCCTAAACCTGATGAGCACTGCTCAGTATGAAGGAAAGTCAAATTCTTCCAAATTTTCCAGTCTTCTAGCACTAATACTATTAAGCAGCTAAAGCATCTGTACATCAGAAGAATGGACAGAGACTGCTAGCTTATTTCAAGTAGGTGAGATGTGGATCATCCCATGGAAATAATCACTAAAATAATGCAAAAACCTATACATCTGGAACAGAAAGCTTTCCAGCATATGCCCAATTAGTTAAAACCGAGCCTTTAATTTTCATTTACTACTTTCTTCAGCTATCTTTACTTTAATAAGCATCCTGAAGTTTTGATAATATTAAATATTCTACATTTACTATACATATCATTAAAAAGTTAAATATACTTTTTAAAGTACATTTTTACTTTTGCCCTTAGATTTTAGAAGAACTTCTCAAAAAAATCTTTCAAACTTATCTCCCTAATGCACCAGGATAGTCCAATTTTAGTAGCTGAGGACAGTTTTGGAACCCTACTATGGATTCTTACTCTCTTTTCCAAGAGCACTGTCTTCTATGTTTGCCACCTAAAACAACAAGCCACTTAAAGCAACAAGCCCAAAATGGAACAGGAAGTAGTACTCCTGCTATGCAGAAGCAGCAGCCTCCTACATTAGAAAAGATGTCACAGCTCTAGAAGTTTTTCCCATCTCTTACTGGGTAATGGCAGGGAGTTGGATGGAAAAATTCCACAGGTCAAATGTACAATGTGGCCATTAGTCAGATCCGTATGACTCAAATCTTAATACATGCAGTCTCTAAAATGCTTTCCCAATTAATAAACGTTTACTTATCACTTGCTGTTATTTTGCAAGAGAAATATGAGGAATAAAATTCATGTATAAAAATGTCTTTACTGGAATGACTTATCCAAGCAAAAATTGACCCAATACTTGTAAGTAGCAATAGCAAGTGCAATGACTTGTAAGTGTTAATGCAGTGTTCAAGAAACCATCTCGTCTGGGGGGAAAAATGTTCCAATAGATTAAGCTTCTCAAGAAATCATTGCAGCCGTAAACATGTAGGAATCATAACATCTTTCATAAAAGTTTTCTAAAATACTTATCTCCCGCTTGGGTACCTGCAGTATCCAATTGACTGTGTCCTTCTGTGCCTCTAACTGAGGAACTCTCTTTAATTTTTCCAGAAGCATTAACACGTTCACAGCATTCAAGGCCGAGCTTCCCATTCCTTTACAAAGGAGAGAAAAATAGAAAAGCATGGGTCTTCAGGGAAAAAAACCCTCAACATTTCAATGTATTTACAACCATGGACATGCCTTAAAATATTGCTAATTATATAACACACATACATGAACACAACTTGTGTAGTTACATTTCCGTTTTAATTTCATCTGTTTATTCCAGTTAAATGTAGTATAATCTTTCCCCCTTGTAGATCAATAATTTTTGCTACTTTCAAGAGCAGAAGTACAGACAAAAACAGAATTGCCTTTTGCTTCAAGGAGAAGCAGTAAAGCTCTTATAGCTTACTTAAGTTTGCTAACAGCTCAGTGTGCACAAGTTTGTTTCTATCACAAAAACTATTACAATTACAGTAATTATTTGCTTCCTCACACCTTGGTAACAGCTGATAACGTTCTAGGCCATTCTAATACAAGCATGCTTTAAAATTGAGACCATTCTCTTCAATTACATTTCTTTTGCAGCACTTTCCATTTGAAATTAATTTGCACAATCTAGAAGTGGGACAAATATATTACAAAAAAAATTTTTTTTTTTTTTTTTTTAAATCACTTCTCAATAAGAGTTTTCTTACAAAAATACTGATTATTTTTGCATCCCTTACGTATAAATGGGTATTTGGTTTTCCTGGTTATGCAAATCTAAAGCTGGCAAAGAATTCTCTAACATCTCAACTGCAATTACTTTTAGTGTATTCCTACATGAAGCTTCTTAAACAGAAATATGTTCCGCATGATAATATTTCTCCTTGCTCAAAAAGAAGAAAAAATTAAAAATAAAAAACCAACGTGAAATAGGAGTGATTTTCAAACTCAGTGACACCTCTTTACACAACATTTATGAAAAACTAAATAAAGGCAGCTCAGCAGCTTTATGTATTTATTTATTTATGTAGGAGGTATTTAAAAGACATGTCAATGTGGTGCTTAGGGACATGGTTTAGTGGTGGACTTGGCAGTGCTAGGTTAACGGTGGGACTCGATGATCTTAAAGGTCTTTTCCAACCTAAGCAATTCTATGATTTTACTTCACAATTCTTATCTCCGTTTCATTTCTCAAGTAACAATTATGTTTAGCTTGATAATGGATTTTTTTTAAAATTTATTCTTACACAGTGAAGCAGAAACTCTAGATAAGATGGAAGATTATTTAGAAAATGTAGATTCCAATTCCCATTCACTAGTCTTGAATGTAAGATTAGGAAGTGCTCTGTAGGGATTTGGAAATGTAAAGAAAAAGAAAAAATAGCCACTTCATAGCCACTAAGTTTTGCGTCTATTATCACTACCATAGTAATAAATTTTAACTTGCAGGTAAATCAATAATCGTACAGATCAGGAGTACAAAAGATGGAGACAGTTCACTTAAATCCACTGTCATTTTTCAAGGAGTTCTTAGTTTCTATTTCAATAAAGTTCTTGTGAAGAAAGAACCATTTTCAGTTATTTAACACTAGTATCACTTTTCCATTTCTTTCCCAGGAAGAGAAGCACATCTCTTCTTCAACATATCTAGCAATTGGGAACAAAGGAAGCTAGTCCAAATCTGGCTTCTTGATTATTTTAAAAAAAAAAAAAAAAGAAAGCAGGTTTTAATTCAGCAAAAAGTAAATCCTTTCTAACTAAAATCACTGAATACTTTCTTCTAGTTTGTTTTTCTCCTTACAAAATGAAGTTAGCCTAATTTACTCTGCCCTTTTAGAGAAAATGAAACATACGTGTTGCTTTGTGATAAAAATCAAAGGTTACTTCTTCTTCTGGAGACTTCTGTAACTGCTGCTTCTCTTCTAGTAACCCTAAAGAAAGGAGATGAAGCACCTAAAAAAGGAGAAAAATAGTAAATCTCATCCACTGTTAGAGGTCTGGAAAACTGGCATATAAAATAAGGATGTTTAATATAGTTCTGTACTATATGCTGATTATATCCATGATAAAAGACAGAAATCAGGAAAAAGTGCAGAAATCATACATGGAAAGTGAAATAACAATGCACAATATAATTCTCCTGCATATTACTTGCACAAAAATTAATAAACTTGCACACACTTTACATTAGTAACATATGAATCTTGTCATTTTGCTGACACAAATCTATGAATATTTGGTTAATTCCATAATCCAGAGAGTAGCAGGTAAGGCAAGGCAATTAAATAATCTATGCACTCTAATTAACAAAACTGATTAATTCAACCAGCCTGTAAATTCAGGTCCTAATCCTATAAATATTAAAAAACCAAACCAAAACACAAAAAAACCCCACAAAAAAACCCAAAACAAAAAAAAAAAACCAAACAAAAACCCACTTCAACAATGTCAGTAATTCCTTTTTTTTTTTTAAAGCATAAAGTCACTGTGGTAAAATGAAATGTTTACATACTTGCAAAATCATATTATTTCATGACCGAGGCCCCAAAGACATTTACATATTTGGAAGCTTTGCAGCTTACAAGATGAAGCAACTCCAATTTCTTTAAGATGATCAAAGGGTTACTTATTTGCCCATGAAGTTTCAAGAAAAAGATGAGGTAAGGAGAATTACATATTGAAACAGCTTCAGTGATGAGGCAACACAGAGGGCAAACCAAAACAGAAAACTGACGAATATTCCCAATTTAATACTGTTGTGTTTCACATTTGTATTGTACAGTGGAGATAAATAACTAGAAATATTTTCTTTGTCTGTATGTATAAGAAATGTATAAGAACAGGTTTGAGGACAAAAAGTAAATTCTTACCATTCAAAGTTAAAGTTTATCTTTACACATTTTGATCTTATCATAAGCATTTAACATGGTCAACACAGAAACGACCACAGGAAGAAGACCAAAGCTAACCATACCATTTGGATCATAGCTTCAGTCCACAAGTGGGTTTCCAGTTCTACTGCTCTCTGAAGAATGGTCCGCAGTATGTGCATCATAACGTCACAGTTCAGAATCCTCACTACGTTGCTGAATGCAGGACTGAAGCCTGGAGGAGGAGGTGGTGGCAATGCTAGAAAATGGAGATGTGCAAATGTATTAACAAACTGGCATCTCATCAAAGATTGCAGGCAAAAAATAGAGAGCACAAACATACTAATTCCAATGAAAGAACAACTGGACCTTTAAATTAATAAAACCATGCTCAAACACAATTGTTCGCCTAAGTCAGCTTTTATCTTTAGCAAAACTAAGTACTTTTAGTAAGTTCTTATACACACATGCAAACCAAGCTAAACAATCAATCACAAGTACTTCATTGTATCTGTAAATGCAAATTTGTAGTACTTTGCACTGCCTTATCATTTATGTATCACTAACAAACATATAGTGTTTGTGTTTTGCATCAGATATAAAGTTTTCAAGTAGTTAAACAAGAGTGAGCAGTGGTGTCTCACATTATAGTGTCCCATGCCTAATATGGCTGGAGCTCTAAATTCTTCCTGCTACTAGGGCATTTCGATCATTTCTAGCTATGTACCTTTTCTGAGCTAATATTGAAACTGTGTTATGTGGTGTCTCACCCAGAAGCCACCTGGAATATTGGCATCTACTAACAGCAGCTCAATTAACGCCGCAGTCTTCCCCTACCTGGAAGCATTGATTTAAGTCTTCTTTTGATACCTGGATGCTTATTTTCAGAAAGCTTCTATGAACGCAGTGTCTCTGAAACCATCAATCTTTTGACAATTTAGACTGAATTAATTATAAAAAGTTACTGACAAAGACAACACAGCCACATAAAAGCATATGCACGAAGTATTTGCAACAAAATAGGTAGCCTCAGGGGAATACACATCAATGTAAACAGTTATCTTTGTATTTTGGAACTGTATTGTCCGATTACATTAATGTGAGTTTCTGACAATTACATCTAAATATTTGCATTTTTTAAAAGTTCTACAAAATAAATGTCCCTGCTAACATTAAGTTGCTAAAGTGAACAGGGCGGGCGGGGGG